ACGTCAGGGCCTCAATGTCTTTCTTGTAGCACAGGGTTCAAAACTGAACGCAGTACTTCAGGTGGGGCCTCACCAGTGCTGAGTATATAGGGAAGATCACTTCCCTGCTCCTGCTGACAACACTATTTCTGATACAAAGCAGGATGCCATTGGTCTTCTTAGCCATTTCGGCACATTGCTGGCTCATGTTCAGTTGAGTGTCGACCAACACCCCCAGGTCCTCTATACAACTTTCAAGCCACTCTGCCCCAAGCCTGTAGTGTTGCCTTGGGTTGTTGTGGCCAAAGTGCAGGATTCAGCACTTGGTCTTGTTGAACTTCATCCCATTTGTCATGGTTTTATGATGGTTGGTTATCGATATTCCACACTGTAACATCATGTAGTGCACTGGGAGTTAAAGAGTTAATGCCCCAGGTCTGGGTACCTGTCATGGAAGAGAAGAACTACTACATTCCCCAGAGGACTGTTTGCTGTTCTGTTATCATTTCCGCTCACGGGGAACAGATAAAAGGCTTTCGTAGGTCATTTCCCCTCCCTCTTTCCTGGTTTCAGCAGCATGTGAGCTCTCCTCCCTTCTACTTATCCCAACCACGCATCTCACCTTAGTATCAGAGTAAGGCCTTCAGCTTTCAGACGCTACCTCTCATTATATCTGATTTATTAGCTTCAATTCTAATTGTATTGTATTATATTGTATTATAGGGTGTTATCTTGCATTCTGTTATCTTATTTAGTAAATTACTTTGTTTTTCCTCAGATTGTTGCCACTGTTATCTTTTGGGGCCCATCTCTCTTTTTCCTTTTATTCTCTCTTTTTCCTTTTATTTTCCCTTTTCCACAGTGTGGATCCACAGGTCCCCTCCACCCTGCTAGTCATGGAACTGGGCCAAACCAGCCCAAACACCGTACACCATTGGTCTCAGCCCAGGAATCCAGCCTGTCCAGCCTCTGCAGGGCCTCGCTACCCCCAGGCAGATCAACACTTCTGCCAGCTTGGTGTCATCTGCACACTTACTGAGTGTGCACTCCATGTCCTCATCCAGGTCATCAGTAGAGATACTGACAGAACAGGCCCCAGCACCGACCCCTGGGGAGCACCACTCGTGACCGGTCGCCAGCTGGATTTAATTCCATTCACCACCACTCTCTTGGCCTGGCTGTCCAGCCAGGTCTTTACCCAGCCAAGAGTGCACCTGTCCAAGGCACGGGCTGCCAGCTTCTGCAGGAGAATGCTTTTGGAGGCAGCGTCAAAAGCTTTGCTGAAACATAGGTAGACCACATCAACAGCCTTCCCCTCAACAGCTGCAGAGTGTTTCCATGGTGGTATAATGTCTGACAGTCAGTTCATGCAGTGAATGGTAAACATCGTTTTTTCAAAAGCTAATTAGAGGTGCAGATTTGTTTTTTATTGCCCTCTCTCAGCTTATTCAGCTTGAGAGCTTAGGAACAGCTGAGCTCATCAAAAGTGATGAGACAAATGATCATTGTTTCATGCAATAGTAACTTGTAGAAAGGAAAAGAATTGGAAAAGAAAAGGATTAAAAAGTGTGAGGCATCTGACATTATTATTAAGGTAACTGTTAACCAATTGCTTTAACCCCTATGCCTTGGGCTTATCCGGGGCCCCCAATAAATTGCCTGTCATCCTATATTGGTCTTTGAAAACAAAAGCTCTCTTAAGCATCAGCAGAGTACTGAGATCATTCCATCCCTAGGTCAGTGACTCTTGATTTCCAGCCTAGGGTTTCATCTCATCAGTGTCCTCTGAAGCAATGCCCTGCCTCTAGTTTTTAGTAACTAAATGGAAACATATAGGACACTGGGAGCACAGAAGGTGGGGGGTAGGAGGGCAAGGAGACACAGAAAATGGGAGGAACCAAAACTCTTTTGTCTATAATGTGGTCTCAGCTGCCCCAACTTACTCACAGCAAGGTCTTTTAAGCACAGCTAGGCTTTCTGCTGAACACATCATCAAGGCACCTGAGCAGTAACACCTTCAACACAAATACACACAGAGAACTGTTCGCATACAGTCTTCGTCAGATTCTCTTACAGTGCCCACATAATCCATGTTTTTGTTTTACCTGTGGACTGTGTCTACATCATAGCTCAGGAAGGAGCTTCCCTCAGAAATGAGTGATGAAAACGGATCACTGCAGACAAAGTCTGCCTTAGCAAGAATTCTTCCTCCTATGAGAAGTACTAAACCAAGTTATTTCTTGATCTTACAGGTTAAGACATAGGGAGGAATAAAATATAATTGGTCATTCCCGCCCTTACCTTTGTAGAAAAAGAAGGGCAAAACCAACAAAACTGGAAGGTAACAAATACAGAATGTCAGGAGAGAAACAGTTACCGCTGCCTGATCTTATGAGGTGCAAATAAAAGCCACCGTAAGACTAAAAGTTTGACAGCTGATCTTTTTTAACTTATTTTGAATTATTTCAGAAGGCTGAGAGGAGGGACAAGAACAAAACACAACCAGTGATTAAGCCTTAAAGCTCTGGGATGTGGTTCAGAGCAAAGTATTTCCAAAAGGTCTGGTAAAAAGTAAGCTCTCTCCTATCAGTTACCACAAGAAGCATCTCTGTGCACAGAGTTCACATGGAAAGGTGATGGCAGCAGAGGGGCCTCATTGGGGCCTCCTGTGACAAGAGATATGGTGCTGCCCTATGTAGGACAGGGGCCTCTCTCCTTCTCCTCCTGCTCCCAGTGCCCCTGCATGGCCAGAATGCCTGTGCTGCTCCCAGGTAAGCACTGGCAGTAGATGAGGGCATGCACTCGGCACTGATGCCAGTGCTTGGCTGGATTGTGGTTTTGAGCCTCACAAACATCCCAGAGACCATTTTGGGCAAGCCTTTTGATGAAATCCTTAGCCTCAGTGACATCGCAGATGTGTCCCTCTAGGCAACAGCGTCTCTTCTGCCAGATCCAGTTCCTAAGCCAGAGGGCAATGCCACAGGTATGGCCGTGGGAGATGGCTACCCACCTTCCTGGCTGGATTCTGGTGCTGTCCCAAAGGGAGACTGCCTGGATGTGCTCATAGGATGGGTTTTTCCAGCCTCCAGTGGCTCCCTGTATTAGATCCCAGCTGGCCAAAGTGCAAAAGCTGCTGATGATGGAGAGCTGTGGAAGTACAATATCCCAGTGTCTGTGGTGACATCAGGTATGCTACTATCTGGGTTGTGGTGCTTTGCATAGTGAGCCAGAGAGAAGAGCAAGCACCAGGACAAGCCAATACTGAATCATTTCCAGAGGTTTGCACACTCCCTGGTCAGACTGGGATTTCAGAGATGAAGTTGGCTTTCCTCTCCAAGGAGGGCCTTCAGTTAGTACTTCCTATACACAGAAGACATCAAACCAGTATATGTAGCCAGTAGGGTGCACAGTGAGTTCAGAAATCGCATCAACCTTGCAGTGTTTGAGGCACAAAGGACATACCAGGTGAATGTACCTAACACTAGCAGCATGGGCGGGATTGGACTTTTCAGAGCCAGGGGAAGACAGCCTGAACTGTGGAAGGGCCCTTTCCCACAGCAATCAGTTTACGGTCAGACACAGCCATGCACCATAGCTGCAGAAAGAGGTAGTTCTCCTTCAAAGTTCTCTTTCAAAGCTCAGCAGACTTCCTTGGGGCCACTATGTGTTGGCTGAGTGAGTGGGAGTTGGGGAGAGCAGAAAGGTAAAATGCATAGGAAGCACTGAATTGAAGGGAATTGCATGATATCAGCATGCACCACTGCTTTTAACCAGTGCGGTGGTTTAAGTCCTCACTGCCTACCTGCTATTGACCACAAAGACCAATAGGAGACTTTGCACTGTAGTCCACATCTGCCCTTCGAGCTACCCACAGAAGAGCTACAGTGACTGATGGGACAGGCATGGGGACCATGTGAAGAGTGAATGGTGATTTCCCAGGAAGGGGCACAGAGCAGTGATGGGCTCACAGCCGGATGTGGAAGGGAAAACAAAAAAAACAGCAAAACTGCTCTCCTTCTACTCCAGGTGGTGGTGGGTCCAGGTACAACAAGTCCAGCTTCCTTTAGTCAGCCTTCCCCCTGTTTTCTGAGCACTGCTGCTTTCTTCCTCCACTTTTTCTTATGTGGGCTTGAGACTTGCCTCAGTGTGCACCATGGTGCACCCTACATACACCCTGCCCACAGAGATGCAGTCCTAACCCAGGTTTTCCAGAAGTTCCAGTAAGCGCTCTGTGATCCGATTACTCTTTGGAGGAGCAGAGGAGCTTCCATTACTACTGCCCTGGAAGCAATCTGAAGAGGATATCAAGAGCGGGTGCCAGACAGGGCTGTAAGAGGATTACAAGCAGGTGGAAACAACGCAGCTTATCCCACTGGCTTAGATGCTCAGCCCTCCAAGGTCAGTGGGGTGGTACAGCAGAGGTACAGATGGGAGGACAGCAGTGGCGCACAGCTGGTCCCGGCTGGCTTCCTGCCGCTGGCTCCCGGGTAGTGACATCCACATCCAGGCAGTGACAACCAGTTCAAGCTACGGGCCAGCTTTACCCTCTCGCGTTACGGCACTCGGATACCTACGGAGCCAGCCGTCGGTCACCCGCAGCCTGGGACCTTCTCAGACTGGACTTCAGCCGGAGACAGGTGCCACACTCCCGTTAGGAATGCAGTCCTGTAGCCCCGAGCGGAACCCGCGCGCATCGTTCCGCTCTAGAGGAGTACCGAACAGGTTGCTCTTCCCCCGCCTTGCAGTCCTTCCTCCGCAGCCCTCCCCGGCAGCGATGCGCCGACAGCCACCCTCCGCGCCCCCAGCGGGCACCGGAGCCGCCCCCCGGCCCGGCCCCGAGCATGCTCAGTGCCGCCCTGACCTACTTTCCCCTGCCGGAGCCGGCGGAGGAGTGGCGGTGCGGAGGACGGCGCTGCGGCACGGCGCCCCGTGACCGCGGACTGCGGCAGCGCCGCGCTCCGCCCGCCGGCCCGCGCGGCGCGCCCCGGGCCCGGCATGGTGCTGCGCGGGGCGCGCTGAGGGGCACGGCGGCGGGCGCTGCCGCGGAGCGGCCGGCGGGCAGGTGAGCGGGAGCGGCGCTTCGGCGAGGGGGGCGGCTCGGCGGGCGGCGCCACCTGCACGGCCCTCTGCGCCTCGGCGAGGGGAGCCGCTGCGGTGCGGGCAGGCGGCCGCGGCGCTGGGGAAGGGAGCCGCCGCGGGGAGCGGGAGGTGCCGCGCTGGGAGCGCCGGACGGCCGCTCGGGAAGTAGTGCCGTATGGAGCGTGAAAGTTCAAGGGATGGATTCGCAGGGGGACCGGGGCTGTCGGAAGGACGCGCGGCTTTAGGCAGGAAGACCTGGGATTTCTGCCTTCCCGCTGCTCCCGGTGGGTCGATGCCCGCTCCGGGCAGGAGAAAGAAAGGGCGTTAGGAAATCCGCACGGGGACCTTTTTTACGGAGCTGGCCTTTTCAGAGAGCTGAAGTTGTGTTGCCTTACATTTAAAATAAAGGTGACCCCCTGCTTTTTCGCCATAATTACTTTTTCATTTCACAGCCTCATAAGATAGAATTCAGTTTCCAAAGTGCCCTGTAGAAACTGCAGCCTGGCAGAAGTAGCCAAAGTCGAGCAACAGCAGAAAAGCGGGCTTAGAGATCAGAGCGCAGCGCTGCTGAGCAGGCGATCGTCCGGTGCGTTTATCTGGGCGCCTGGTAGGAAAGCGTGCTTCCCAGCTGCCCTCTGAGAGCTGCTGGGAAGAGCAGTGAGGTTAGTTCACGGTGAGAAACACAGAGGAGTTTACAGGGAAAAGTGGAGCGGTTGAGATGTTTGGAGCCGATGCGTTATGGAACAGTTTCTCTCTTCGCTGCAGTAGGACAAAATCTGGCAGATCTCCTTTCAGTGGAGGAGATGTTTGCATGGCAGACTCTTTTCTCTGGCTTAGTGTGTTCAGTTAGCAGCAGCACCATTGGAGTACTTGTGCTGGTGCAGCAGGGATCCTTTTTTAGTAGAAAGGCTTCTAGTTCAGACTGCAGTATGCCAGCGTCCGTCAGTTAGAAGCACAATACAGGCAGCGTGAGTGCACACTGTATCTTTGCCACTTCTTCTGAAGAATTTGAAGCTGGAAGTCTGTACAGACAGCAGACAATCCACCAAGAAAAAGCTTGCTTTCCACTTCAATGTTTGGTATTAGTCCAGCACAAGCAAGTTTCCCTGAAAGCTTGTAGCTAACACAGATGTGTTAACATGTCACCAGAAGGCTGTGGTGTACAACCTAGCTCCTTAGTGCTCCCTGAGATATTTCTTCCTGTGGTTCTGATCCGCTGCCTGGCCTTGGAGCTGTGCACCTTTGCAAAGCCCTCTGCTTAGCCTTAATTCTGTTATGTAGTTGTGCTGACTAAAGCGTTGGCATTCTTCATCCACGTACAGACCCACTTCAGAAGCAGCATTTCCAAGATAGTGGGTGTGCTTTTATTTTTTTCCCCAGTTACTATGATTAAAATAAGTCATAACAGCATTTTAGAGCATCGGATCTTCTGTCTACGAGGAAAGAGGCAGGAGGCAGACAAAACTTGTCTGTGTTTGTATAGGTGCAGGACAGAGCAATTTTAAGAGGCATTGTGATTTTTACTTAGCTAACACAACATTAGACAGAGGACTGTCTCACTTCAGAGTCATTAACAGGAGCAGTGCTTGTCAGAAATCAGGAGCTCTGTACAGGCACACAGTTCTCCTACTTTGGAAAGAGACCACAACACGTGGAGGGATTACATTAAGAACAGCCCTTCTCGGCAGGCTTAACATTTAATTAACATATTCTGCCACTCTTGCATGGTTTGCAGCCACAAATGATTTCTGCTGATGTTTTCAAGTCGCACGGGGACAGGGCATCTGTACTGCATTGCAACCACACTGCTGTGCGTGCAGTCCCCCCCCCCACACACGATGTATGGCACACACATACCAGCACTGCTGCATTTTGATCAGTAGGTTCTGCTGTGGCTGGTGGCAGTGGTGTGATGTGGTACAGCAGCTCGTTCTGGAAGGGTTACATTTATAAACTCATTTCGGAATGATGTTGCTACAGTTAGTACATTATCTGATTGTGATCAACTTAACAAAAGATGCTTAGAAATTTGTTATTTTGATGTTACATTTTTTTAGCCCAGAGCAGATAAAAAAGCACAGAAGTTATGGAGGTCCTTCAGTAAACTCTTGATGAATTCTACCTAGATTAATTCACAGCAATGGCCACATGAAGGAGTGGCCACACACTAGGAGAGGGTTGTATTGAATCACAGAAACACCAAGGTTGGAAAGGACCTTGAAGATCATCCAGTCCAACCATCCACCTATCACCAATAGTTCTCACTAGACCATGTCCCTCACCACAAAATCCAGCCCTTCCTTGAACACCTCCAGACTCGATGACTCCACCACCTCCCTGGGCAGCCCATTCCAGTGCCTGACCACTCTTTCAGAGCAGTAGTATTTCCTAATGTCCAGCCTGAATCTCCCCTGGCGCAGCTTGAAGCCATTCCCTCTAGTCTTAAATTGATCACATTGGTGTACAAGCAAGGCTCAAGTTTCTGTCTGGTGTGAGGCAAACTCCTTTGAATATCACTCGCTGTTCCTTTCTGATACTTGTAGAGGAAATAGGCAGAGCACTTTTAATCTGAAGTGATCCTTTTCTGTTGCACTCAGCTATGACTGGCTAGATTCCCCCTTTACAAGTTTAGCCTGTCTTAATCACAGCATCCACCTGTAACCTCTTTGCACTGAATCCCAGAAGCCAATACATGCGTAAGCCAGTCATTAAAAATGGGTAAATATATGTGTCTTGCAGTTCTATGACGACACAGATGAGTTAGTCATACTCTACACTGTTTTCTTCCTATTTTTCATTCTGCTTTATAAATGGGAGCCTTCTGTTAAAATACTGTTTCTAATGAAAACTGTATGCAGTGAAGTGAAAACACTTGAAGCACATACAAAATGTAGAATTTAAGAAGTAGAGAAGTCTTGAGCCTTGCAAAGGGCTACATTCCCTACATTTAGACTTTTTATTCATCATTTGGAAAAAGAAAACACGCAGACGTATCTAAAGGATGGTCAGTTTTGCCAGTTGAAGAGAAAGCAAACGGAAATGAATTGGACCCCATTCCACATTGCTGTGTTCCTAGCACTCAGAATAGATAAGCCATCCCAAGAGCACATGAGATCTGTTGTTTTAGCTGACATTGGTTACTTAAGCTGTTAGTAGAATAATACCTGCAATGTGCTGGTATAAATAGAAGGTAAGAGGTGAGTAAAGAAAAGGGAAGATAACCCAAAACTTGGTGAGGGCAGGTAGCGTGCAGATGCGTGTGGAAGTGTGGGACAGATCTCTGCATCTTTTTGTTCCTTCTTTCTCAACAAAGGGAACTTCTAGGCATTGAACCATCTGCGTTTATTGCCAACAGTAAAACAGCAGCTATGCTGAAAGCTTGCAGGGAGTTGAGCCTTTTAAAGCTGTACAGGTGTTTCTGGAATAATAGCTTTGTATACAAAACAAGGTTGAGTAGGAATTATACAGCCTACAGATAAATACAAATGCTAAGTAAATCTAAATCATCATCATGAAAGAGGCATTTACTTGGAAAATCCTGACAAGAGCTCATACCTAATCAAATGTGAGCTGGGCTTTAAAAAGTCTCTGCTACTGATAGCATTCTATCTGCTCTAGGATCCAGGTAGCCCACAGCTCAGTAGAAAGACATTTCCATCGCAGTACTTGTGCTGATTTAAAAACAGCAAGCTTCTCCACTAAATACAAAACATTGTCTTTACTGCAGTCATTAAAATACCTCCAAGAGAAAACAATTGAATTGCTCATTCCGTATAAAAATGTGCACATGTACTACATGTTACCTAATGAAAAGTTAAATGTCCAAGTTGCCTCAACAGTTGTGTTTTGTTTTAATTTGGCGTATTTCTTAACAAAAAAAAGATTTGATCCTGGGATTACAGAAACTGCAACATCAGAAGGGAACTTTTCAGAGGTTTGGCATTCTTGAGGTACTTTTAAATAATCTCTCAGTAATTACCTAACAGTGGACTCTGTCTGTTCACTTTTAGGTTAATGGATTAAGGTCTTTGAGCATTTGTTGGAGCGAGGGGAACAGCCACCAGATCACTTAAAAACATGGCCAAATCAATGGAACCATTCAAGTGTTTAGAGTGAGGAGGGTTTAAATTCTCCAGGATTTCATATGCTGGCTAGTTTTGCAATACCGAGGCATGAAGTAGAACAAAGAGGAACGATAATGAGGAGAGCTTTACGGTAAAAATACTTACTTGCAATAAGACTTCTAAAATATTTACAGGCTTGTAAAGGCATAATCTGGAGGATATTTTTACCATCACTGAATATAATGACGTATCCTTCCTTCCCTGCCCCAAGAGTCTGGATTTGCCTTGTAGGAAATGTTTGTAGGATATTTTTTATCACAAATATAGAACATGGGGTAACCACATCGCTTATTGCTTTCTTGCAATTAATTAATTGTATTAATTGTATGGTGCGTGATCTGTGGGAAACTACTGAGCACTCAGGCTTCCACAGCCCTGAAATAAATAAGCAGCGTCTCTCCTGAGTGTGTGATGATTGACTTATTGCACGCCAGGCAATGAATGCACTTTTCAGACAACAACATGAGTAAGGTGTGATTGTGAAACGAGAGGTGTGTCTCTCTGGTAGGAGAGGGCTTATACAAGTCTGGTAAAGACACGATCACACTTGGTTGAATGTCTGATCATAGAATCTGTAAATTCTGTCTGAAAATCCGCAGGTGATGTGTTTATGTTGACTGACAATGGAGTCGCAAACATCAAATGTTCATTTTTTTCAGCAATCTTGAAACCCATTCTCAAATTCCTGTATCAAAACACAGTGCAAGATGCACATTTATTGCTGTTCACAGGACTGTGTTTAGCCAAGGTATTAAAAATGCATACAATTATTTGCCATCACTTGAGTCAGCTGTGCACACTGCCCCACTGTGGGCTTTGACTGACCTCCTAGTTTAAAATTTCTACACAGACAGCCATC